ACTGTGCTGAGGCTCCGTGATAAACGGCTGAAGCAGGCTCTACTTGTGTCACGAGATGGTTGTAAAAACAGGGGGAGCTGGACACCAGGGGGGGAGAAGAGACGAGGCAAAGAAGGCTGCAACCAGGAGGAAAGTGAGACTGACGCCAAATCTGAGGATACAGGGGTGTTTGAGGACAGATGTGTGGATCAGATGGAGTTGGGGGGTCATTTTCTTCCAGACACCAGCAGCTGGTCTGAAGAAGAGAAGGCATACTGTTTTTACTGTGGAAGAGGACAGATGCAGGTTGGTGGTCGGGTAGCATGCAGAGGTTCAAAGATTGGGAAAGGTGTCCAGCATGCGCATAAGGACTCTGTGAAGATTCAGAGAAGTGTTGAAACCAGCACCAAAGACATACAGAAAAGTGTAGAAAGCAGTGACTCCGATGGAACAAATTCCGAAGTCCGGCTCCAAACTCAAAGTCTTCAACACGTGATCCCTGCTGGAGTGACTGATACCCATGAGCAGAGTTTGCAGCTTTTAGGCTCTCAACAGAAGCTGCTGCTTTCTGATGTGTGTGAAGGGGACAGTGAAGCAATGGGTCAGGAGCACCATGTGGACCTGCAGCAGCTGTTTTGGATACAGGACAGCGCTGAGGGACAGGTCATTCTGGTGCCTGTCTCTGCTGAAGACGGATTACAAAGTGGAGTTGCTGACGGAGCACAAACCGTACTGGTGTCAGAAGTGGGTCTTAAAGGACATATGGGACACATGACGGAGAACAGTGGAGGTCTGTCCGGAGTTGAGACAGCCTGTGATGGTGTGCATAGTGACCAGCATTGTGCTAACAACGCTGCATCGGTGGAAATTAGAGAAGATGTGAGGGAGAAACTTAAAGAACACCTGGAGGGATTTCACCTTCAGCTGAGCACTGAGTTTATAAACTGACAGGAAGCTATGGAAGCCAATTTCCGTCAATGTTACAGAAAATAAGGATTCTGTAAGTCATTATAATGAGAAACGTTGTCTCATGTTGGTCCAGTATTGAGGGGGAGTGCTGCAGCCTGCAGCCATGAAACGGGCTATAATCGTTGTGGTTGGTTACGTCCATTAAATGTGCTTGATTTTGCTAGCTAAAGGTCCAGTATGTAGGATTTAGTGACAATTTCTGACAATATATCCTCCTAAATCTTACACACTGGACCTGTTTAAGTCTGACAAAAGTATGGAAAGGACCCAACAAAAATCAATGTTTTCTGTTCCTTTCGCCTGAAGGAAGTGAAATCTCCAGTGTAACAGCACCCACAGGAACACCATCATTCTCCTGAGCTGGTTCACCCTCTTTTCCGCTCTAGTTTTTTTAATCCAAAAATCTAATATTAGGAAAACAGCCAGAGTGTAAACATACAACTTTATGCATAAAATCTGAGTAAAAACAAGTTTATTTTTTTATGCAACCAGAACAGTGAGATCTTCAGTTGTATTTATCACAATCCCTCTCAGCTCATTGGTTTACAATGCTGCTATCTAGCAGTTGGGGGCTTTTAAGCAGTAATACTATATCACAAAACAAAATATGGCGATACTCAAGTGTATCGATATTGTCTTACATTCTATAAGGTGTGTAGAAAAATACCCTTTAAGAATCAACTCGGTAAGCAGTTTTTGAGCAACAAATCTTTTTGAGAAGCTTTAGAGATATATTTGGTGCTTAGTCACTGTAGAAAGGTGCAGATCAATGGATAAATGGGTGCTTTTGTGTGTAGAGCCAAACCCACTGTATCCCACTAACAAATATTGTGTGTGTATCACAGCCTGATATATCTTATTCCTCTGTGCCATAGAGCTCCATTGTTGCTTTTGAGCCACACTGTTACACTGGGTGAGATGTTCCTTCATTACCATAAGGGAATGTATGTCACTGTCAGAAATGGCACCTATTGTGGATTAATCCACCGCTGAAAATAGTCCCCCAACAAATGCACTATTTCCTCCAGTTTGAGTAATGTTTGTTTAAAAACTACAGTGACAGGCTATTTTAGGAAATTACTTTTTAAAATGGAACAGTATATTTGTGAGGTGTTTTTAAAGGATTTACGTCTTCAGTAGGAACCAATGGGCGCGGAGCTGAGCCACAGACAGGGTGGGGAAGTATTGAGACGAACTTACACATTGTTGGTTTTGGACATATAGAATAACACAAGAATGATGCTTTAATTTGAAAATCAAACGTGTTAAAGACACAACTGGTTAAGGAATAACACACACATAAAAATAAAAACTGATGTTGAAATAAAGAGATAATTACATTTTTGACTTAACCTTTTTCTGTTTCCCTCTTATTTTAAAAATGTCAACTGTTTTAGGAGCTGTTGTTGTGCAGGAGCAATGTATTTTGTAGTACATAGAGAAGTCAAAGGTTTGCTTGTGGATGTCACTGTGGTGCAAAGGAATAGGAAGTGTTACCGCACAAATATTAAGATCCAGCTGAGAAAAACTTAGTGGCCATTATCTTGGTCCTAGTGCTCCTAATGGCATTT